TGCACTGAGTAGACTGCAGCATTAATTTAAAATGGAAAAAAGTCATACTGTGGAACCATGTCTTGGTGTCTACATATGTGGTTTGTCTGGTTAACTTTTTGTTTAACTATTGAGTTGAAAGTCTTTCTGTTCCGTTCAGGCTACTTGCACTACTCAAAAACAATTTTGAAAGATCTTTAATATCATTTGCTAGTAATTTGTGGCCCAGTATGTCTAATGTGAGTTATCTGCTTTACTAGTAGTAGAATTGTTTCTTCCCATCAGTCTAACTATTCACATCATCATTTGTGTATGTGATATTAATTGTGCTTTTTCTATATGGTACAGTGTTGCAGATGTTGCTATTCAGTAATGATGTTTTCATATTTAGCAGAAAGCGATTTATTCCAATTTATTTTTTTTTAAATACAAGGTACAGCTTCTGTAATTCAAAAATTAACATAAGTGATCTTTAGTTCTCTTTACAGCTGCCTGGAATTCTTCTAAGTTAGAGGTGGAATTCAACGTCTGTTTGTCCCAATATGTTTACAAATTAGTTATCATCAGAGTGAAGGATTGAAGGGGACCATTTGTATTGAATTAAGTCTTGTGAGCATTTATGAAACTGCTGGTTAGACAGTCATCAAACCCCATCTTAGAACAAGTTTGATTTGTTTGTCTTTACTATTTTAAGACTGATTGATACAGCAATATGTTTCTTAATGTCTTTTGTACATGTTCTATTTATACCCATTGCTTTTAGTCCTGATACTGACCCTTAATGTAAAAATTTTTCATACATTTATAGAGATCTCAATTTTTTTTCCAAGTGGAGCAGGGAAGCCCTTATAGGCCAAGCATTTCTATTTGGATTTAAGTTCTCTCTAATCATTTTAGTAGCCTTTCTGTACATGCAGCACAATTTTGAGTTAAACTTCTAGGAATGGAGGTGATTTGAGGTGCACGGAGTGCTCCAAGAGGAGAAGCTTTGCACTGAGGTGTTTGTGTGGCCCTGTTTTTACTGCAACTGTATCACCTGGTATGGATTGTACCTCCTTTTTAACAATGAGGAGGTCTAGACTTAATTTCCTCCTGTAATTTCCAGGTTTTAACTCCCAATTTACAGCAGATGCACTTATCCTAGTCTCAAAATACATAATTTTGCACTCCATACTGTTCAGTTTAATCCCACTTACACTAGTCCAGTGCTCAAAACAATCCAGCTGTGACTTCTGTTTTTTCTCCATGTTAATGATGTGACAACACCCATTTTGGCACTGTTAAGTACTAAAATTTGTATTGTAATTATGTGCATGTGCACACAAGCATATTAATATTTGACCTTTACTTTTTATATGCTAGTTTCTCTCTATTGCATATTACCTGCCATCTACTTTTAGAAGTTTTAGGTATTTCACAATTCTTCTAATCCTAGTCTTTTCCCCCTTAAATATGAATATGGAATACTTAATACGATGCCAAATCCATGTGCATTATAATTAATTCATAATTTATTACATATAAGTATGACATGATAGTATTTGATAAATGTACTTTGCATTTTATCCCACTTTTCTCTGTGATGTAAGGGGTTTTTTTCTTGAACATTTTTCCTGAAGCTTTTCATATTCCTGATATAAGACTAATGAGGTAACTAATTTTCATGATGTCTTAGACAGAAATATTAGTTTTCTATTTTCCTAGTGTAGCTTAGTCCCTGTTATCTCTTACACTTTATCCTCAGTTTATCAGATTGCTAAAATACAGAGCTGCTTCATCCCACTGACTTTCAGTGTTTCCTGGATGGAACTGGCTCTTAGCAGTAGCTCAGTACCTAGTCCAGCATATTTCTGTTACATCTGTAGTGTTCAGTTTCCTTCCCTACACTATTTTTTGTTCTGTTGCTCAAGATGCTTGCATTAGTGCATAAATGTTTAGATTTTTCTTAAATAACCATTCACAGTCTTAGCTGAATCAATTCCTGCACCACCTGCATTATCAGTCTATCAGCATTACTGTTTTCCTTCCCTGCTCCACATCCTCCTGTATTCTATTAACTTTAGAGTTTCACTGTGAGACTTGCCAGTGACCACCTACTGATTTTATCCTCTGTACTGTGCTTGGGAAGAGGCTTGAAGCTTTGAGGTTTCTCGTGTTTTTTTTTTAACATTGCTTTCAGTAGATGTTTTTACCAAGTGCTGTGTCACGATTTGATGTAGTTGACAGAGTTTGGGATAAACATACATGGTTCACACATGCTACACTTGATAACTATAATGGCAAAGGCTACTTCACAGACAATATGGAATTCTTAGTGTTTGTGCAAGGAAGATTAGACCCCTTAAGGGAGGTTGAGGTCATACTTCTTCCTATAATCAGGAATTAAAAAAATGAACAAATGCTTTGTCAGCATAGTGTAGTCCTCATGAGTCAGACAGCTGGCTCTGCATAGGTGTAGGGTTATGGAGCAGTATGACCACAATGGAGCAGGAAGAGGAGAGTGCAGGGAAAGACACTTACACTGCAGTCCTTTCTGCCTGTAGTTGCCATCTTCTGCCTGTGTATCTCTGGATTTGCTGTAGAAGAAAATGACACTTGAAATACGATGATATATTGGGCATCTCATTTTTATTTAATGGGACCTATCTGACACATTGCAACACAAAAGGACTTGAAGCAGCAGAGGCTTTAAAAAAATAAAGGGCTGGTGGGGTTTGGATTAGATTAAATTTAGTCTGTTATGCTGAAATGCTCTTCCTATGAGCAAGCAGCAGGAAAGGTGGTGAGGTTTTAGGCGCCAAAAAAAAGTCATTTAATTGCGATTACCGCCAATCTGGAACACTTGTATTCATCAGCCAGCTATCCAGGGAGATTTCTGGAACTCTTGAACCCTGGATCCGAGTGGTTCCATGGATATTGTAAATATCACATATGAAATGTTGGACTCTTTAATACCAATGTAAGTTTAGTTAATTACTTACTAAGGTTAGGATTTCACTTATGTTTACATATGTGTTGGACTTTCTTTTGGTGGTACTCTGAGGGTGGGAAAG